TTATTTTTAGGGACAGTTATTAGTATCTGACTTGAAGCAAATTCTCTGTCATGGAAGTTCCTCACATTGCTCAGAAGCACTGGAATCTTCCTGAATTCTCTTTGATGGTGGTTCTACCCAATCCACCCCGCTCATGAGCATTGCAGAAGTCATTCCCTGGGGTTTATGCATTCCCAGGGAACTAACTCTTTGCTAGTCATTGTGGTTTGGCTAAAGCTGTGTCTGCACAGTCAGTGTATGTCTCTACAAGGTACAAATCATATGCAGATCTGGAACATGAATGTGTGGCAGACACAGCTAATGGCTCCATCCATATCCCCTTACCTCCACCTCTAAATGAATGAATGAATGAATGAATGAATGAATAAATAAATAGTAAAGGAAAGAAAGGGAAGAACTTAGATGCTAGGAAATATTTGTATTATGTTATTTCCTTGCCAAAAACAATGTGTGTCACCTAGAAAAACTTCATATTGACACATTTAAAATACATGGAAACAGTATCCATGGGTTTTGAATACTTTTAATAAAAATTTAAACAAGTAAACTGTCTAAATAGCTTATAAGTTGATTGATATCAGGAAAAACAAATTTACCATGTGAATTTTGATAAACTTTTGCATAATTGGTAGATGGGATAGGATAACATCCTAATTAGTTCAGCTAAGCCATGATATACTTCTTCCATTTGATTCTACATGCTTTTGTAAGATATTTTTTTCAGCTGCATCAGCCCTTATCACCAAGTATCAAAATAAACTGGACCTAGAACCAAACTTGGAATTGTTGGGTCACTAAGATTTAAATTAATTAAGTTTATTAAATCACCTTGCTCTTATTAAGATATTGTTAATATTTTTAGTAAAAGCAAAAAAGATTTTATACTTTTAATAAATAAAGTTATTTAAAATATATATCTTATCTCATTAGCTTATTTTTTTAGTTTTGTGTCTGTTTTGTAGTGCAAACAATGTTAATTTGATAGTATACACATATAATTTGTATGTAAGTAAATATCCACACATTGGGGTTATTTACTCAAAGACTAATTGGGTATGCAGTCATTTGGAGATCACTAGATTAGATGGTGTCTAGAATTTGTATGATATTTTACACTTTATAAAATACTTTTGCTAAAATGTTCTAACTTGAACCTCATCAACAACCTTTGATGCAGAGAGGTGTCATTATGCCCATTTTATAGAGGAGGAACTGAAGGCTAGCGTATTTAAATGTCTTGCCCAGTATCACACAACTAGTTAATAGTGGCTTCTCAATTCCAGCATAGGTCTTATTATTGAATGGTACTCTTTCTGTTTATTACATTCATAACGTACTGGTCATTCTTCAGGTTTTGATTTCCTGCCTTAATCTGTTTATTATTTATTTTTCAGAGTCCTTGGGTAGTTGCTTTTTGTATTTTGTTTAGCGTTTTTAGTAGTAATCAGTGGAAGAAAGACTGCAGGTAATTAAGAAAGATGAAAGCCAATCAGAAAGACAATATATTAATGATGAAAATATAAATTGCATGGGGTGACTCCATAGTGTAGTGGTTAGCATGTCTGCTTTACACGCGGAAGGTCTTGGGTTCACGCCCAATGTGGAGCCATGGACCATAACCCCAGATGCGCCAGGCCCCAGTTGCGCCAGGCCCCAGTTGCTCCAGGCCTTGGGTGCGCCTGGCCCCAGGTGCACGCCGCAAGCTTGTGGGAGGAGATGCCCGCCTTCAGAGATCCAGTTCTTAAGGGGAAACAGCAACATCCATAGGTCAGGGGTTGAAGCAGGGCGGGAATTAAAGAGGGGGGGAAAATATATAGATAGATAGATAGATAAACTTATGTTTATCTATACCAAATTGAAAATGATTGGGTTATAAAAGTAACTCAAAAGTATAGCATGGTTTTAGACATTATTTTTTAAGCTGTGATCAGTGCCATAATCCAGGAAGAGAGAGATTTATTTAACGAGTTAAAATCTAGTTTTAATAGGTTTTCATGAAAGTATCTTTTACCTACAGCTTCTGAGCTTTTTTGTATTATAAATTCTGGGCATGGCTTGATCTTCTCTTAGCCTAGTGGCAGCACATCTGGAGGTATTATGCATCATTAAAACTTGCATAGGAATTTTGCATGCTTTGAAATATTGCATATATGATTATAAAATCCCCCTAGTATTCCTTGGCATATTAAACTAAGATGACACTGATGGGTATATTATTGTCTGTGTTAATAATCTACAGATGAAAGACTCCCTGAGTTCAGATGAG